ACTGACCTTGTGGCTTGCAGCCCAATTCGTAACCACTACGCTACCAGAGCTCCTTAATTCATTCAGGTAGGAAGGATTTAATATGAGAGAGCTTGGCCTGGGATAGGAGAGAAGCACATGGGTCTGTAGGTTTGGCAGTGGAAGTTAGTGACTCTGCTGCCTAAAAGTTTTGAATGTGGCACATTTTGAGGGTCAGTTGAATTTGATGCCCTTGAGTTTCTAGTTAAACCAGTCAGCTTGGTTGAGTGACTTCCTCCCCCAAGCATGGTACATCTGTCTAGGGGAGTAATTTGCTTCATACTGGGTTGGTTTTTTGCCAGGTGATGTGACCAAAGGACATGGCATTAGGGCTATTTATACAAGCAATTGAAATCAGGACCCATAGGAGGTAACTTGAATAAGGAAATAGAGGAATACGAGGTTCTAGTAGGTGGCTGTGATAGGGAACTTAAAGGCAGCATGGAGGCTGTGGGTGAACTGTGGGAACTGGAGTGGATGGGGGTTTCCGGGGGATGGGGTAGGGGAGGGTGGCAGTTTGGTATGGGTTTGGGAGTGGGCCACTGAAAAGAAGGAGAATAACAATTAGAAAAGAGGACATCAAGGCACTGAGAGAGCAGGGGTGGGAGTGGCTTATCCACACAGGTACTGAAACTACCTGAGCCGGTGGTAGGAGATGAGGTTATACAGGTGTGTCTTTCATGAATGGAGTCAGCCAAGAAGAAGAGAAAGATAAGACTTCTACAAGGCATGGCCCTCAGAAAAGATTTTTACAACAGGATGGAGGTGTGTGGTTAGTGGTCTAGAAGCAACAGGTAGGATCCGGGTCTCCTAATATCTTAGTTTCTTAGTGTTACTATAGAAGAATTTAGTCCTGGTGTTATGCTGTAGGATAAGCACTGGACTGCTAACCACAAGGCCACCAGCTGCTCCTTGGAAACCCTATGTTGTTGTTAAGTGCCGTCATTGAGTCGGTTCTGACCCACAGCGACCCTGTACAGAGTTTCCAAGGCTGTAAATCTTTACAGGAGCAGAAAGCCTCATCGTTCTCTCATGGAACAGCTCGTAGTTTCGAACTGCTGACCTTAAGGTTTGCAGCCCGATTCCTAACCACTACGCTACCAGAGCTCCTTCTGGAAACCCTATACAGGGCTGCTATTAGTCGGAATCAACTAGATGGCACTTAACAACAGCAACTATAACAGAATATCACAATGGCTGGTGCTCATGACCAGAATTTTCTTTTCTTCCAGTTTAGGAAGCTAGAAGTCTGAATTGAGGGCACAAGTTCTAGGGGAAGCTTTTCTCCTTTGCCAGCTCTGGGGGATGGGAAGGCTCTTGACAGTTTTTGATTTCTGTGCCGTGGTTCCCTGAGCTTTTCACGTGATGTGGTGTCTGTCTTCCACCTTTTTTCCATCTGTGACTTATTGGTGTCAGTGCTGCCCAGCTGATTTTGATTCATAGCCACTTCACGTGACAAAGTATAATTGCCCATAGGGTTTTCATTGTTATATGTTTTATGGAAGTCGATGGCCAGCTCTTTCTCCTGTGGAGTGGCTGGCTGGGTTCTAATCACCAGTCTTTTGGCAAGTGGTCAAGTACTTAACCCTTTGTGCCATCAGGGCTCCTTTCCCTGGGACCCAGTCTGCTCTTGATGTCTCTAAAGGGAATGGTTTACACTTCATACTATGGTGGCTTCATTGACCAAACAAAGAAAACTACTGTCCGATGGGATCACAGTCGCAGGTATTGAGTTAGGGTTTCCAATTCATGTTTTGGTGGATGGGTGGGTGAGTGGAAAGGGAACCAAATTCCATCCATAACACCTGACTTCACCTCCACACTCTCTCATCATCTTGTGTGTGCGTGTGTGCATTTTCTGGAAAGGAATGAGCAAGTTTGACCTGCAGGATGTGTGTGTGGGGGTGGGTGAGGATGTTGGCCTCGGGCAAGAGCCAGTTTTCCTTCAGGACATAGTTAGGTCTCTTTCTTCACTGGCTCAGTTATGAGCCTCCCAAGCTTCCTGAGTATGGCCTGACCTCCAGGGGGTTCGTCTTTCAGACTGCCCCCCCCACCCCCCCGCCAAAGTCAGTGTCCTTAGTATGAATCACTGCCACCCCACCACCCCAAGAGGAAAATGTTAAGATATGTAGAAAAAAGCATCTAGCCAGGAATTTTCCAGTAGCAAACATCTTGGATTAATTTAAATGTATTACTAACTCATAAAGGACAATGTAAAGAAAGCTATTTCCATGTGCTACACTTTTATAGCTGACACTCCTCCTGGGCTCTAAGCCATCTATTCTAATTATGCCTCAAAGATGGCTACTGGGTGCATTTAATATACATTATGTACGTTGAATTATGGTTGAGATGTAGCTTTATTGGAAAGTTTCAGTGATTTTTATGTATATCATAAAATTCTGCCATAATTTGATGAGTGTTACTAAAAACAACAGCTAGTCTTGTATTTGGGGTTGCATTTTCGTGAAGGCAATGAAAACCACAGACACATAGGAAAAGATAGTGAAACTGTTCTTTACCCATATGACCTCTGAGCTCAATGGCTCAGGTGATGGGGAAAGAATGTGAGATTGTTGAGACAGAATTTAGGGTCTAGGAACTCTATTTAAACAGACACTATTTTGATAAAGGGATGAGGGCTTCTTGAGTTCTGTCTGCTCGGAATTGGGTAATTTTTGCAATCAACACTTGCATGGTGACAAGCAGCCGTTTTGGCCAGTTCTCACTCTACTTTTTGAGGGAAGATGCTAATTATAAGTCAAAAGTAGGTAGCAGAAGATTTGTTTTTTATAAAACAAAGTTCTCCCCCCCCCCGCTCTTTGTGAAAGTGCCTATAACCTAAATCATTGCGTTTCTGTGACCCCTGAGTATCTGTGGCAAACTGAGAATGTGAGAATGTTGGTGATAGAGGTATGAGTGCAAATAGAGCCTTATCCTGCCCCCCACATCAAACTCCTGTCTATATTATTTTGAATCTTGGCCATTTTTCGAAATCCCAGTAGAGTCAAGCATTGTGAAGGAATGATGGATCAATTTCCTGTTACCAGTGATTGGTCCTTAGTGTTGTTGTTGAGTGCCGTTGAGTCGATTCCGACCCATAGCGACCCTGTATAGTGCTAGGTAATGGTTTTGAACAATATGAGGGATCTTCAAAAAGTTTTTGGGAAAATGGAATTGAAAATTAGTGGAATTTTTCCACGAACTTTTTGAAGGCCCCTTGTATAATTGCTCTTGTATAGCAACATTTGGTTAAGATCATTAACTCTCGAGTATGGTTCTTGGGATTCAAGCCCTGGCCTTAGTAAACTTGTTGCTATCTGCTGAGTGGGTCTCCTAATTCGTGGTAACCCCACATTCAATGGGACAAAATGATGCCTGGCCCTACACCAGTCCCAAGATCGGATAGCAGTTGGATTGTTGTGACTCTCACCAAGGTGTGTCTATTTTATTTATTTTAATAGCCTGTTTTAGTCTGGAAACTCCATTGGATCCTGTTCTGCATCCTAGGTGAATCCAAGTGTGTACTAACAGGGTGGTGGCTGGGCTTGAGGCTCATTGACTGAGAATCCTGGTGTTCTTCCTGGAAGACGAGAGTTCTACCATTGAGCCGCCGATGCTTTGCGCTATCACCTGAACTGTGGGCAGCATTTCCAGCCTTTTAAGTCTTAGGTTTTTGTTTGTTAAATGGGGACAGTTATAGTACTCCCCTCATAGGATTGTTGAGAGAATTAATAGTGTGTAGCATAGTCCTGGACTCCTGGTGTAGTACTGTAGGCTAATGCACTGGACTGCAAGGTTGGTTTGAACTGTAAGATCAGTAGTTCAAGCTCATCAGCCGCTCCTCGCAAACCCTATACAAGGTTGTTATGTATGTATTGCACTTAACAACAACAGGCCTAGTCCTGGTATAGCGATATAGAATGATCACTGGACTGTTAACCAAAAGGTTGGTGGTTCAAACCCACCAGCCACTCCTTGCAAACCCTATACAGGGTCACTGTGAGTCAGAAGTGACTCGACAGCACTTCACAGCATAGTCCCTGGCACATAGTGAAAGTATCCCATAACTGTTATTATGTTCATGTTGATGTATAAAACTTCAACTCATGTGACTTAACAGTTTGATGCATTTGGAAATTACTAAGTAGTAAATTGTATATTGCCATTATTTGTAATATTCCTTGGACATTTATCACCTTCTCAGTAAGGCCTTCCCTAGCTACTCGCACCCGGCTATGCCTTTCTTCCACCCCATTCCCTGTGATACCCATTTCTGACTTCATTTTTCTCCCCTGTGCTTACCACAGTGAGAAGGGAGTCCTCATAGTGTGGTGGGTTAGGTGTTAGGCTACTAACCAAAAAAAGTTCAGCGGTTCGAACCCACCAGCCATTCTGAGGGAGAAGGACAAGGCTGTCTGCCCCCTGTAAAGATTTACAATCTCGGAAACTCTATATAATGAGTCAGAATTGATTTGATGACTTTGGATTAAAAAAAAATGTAATTTTGGTACTTATGTTATAATAGAATACAGACTCTATGTCTCGGTATTGCTCCCTCTTGTATTGTCAGTCCCAGGTACAGTGGCTGCACCATAGCTCTTGATTAGAATGAAGATGTCGACTTTGCAGTATGATTCGATACACCATCAAATGAAATAAAAGCCGTGGCGACCATTGGAGCTTTAATAGTTTTATTTGGGAGTTCTCAGTAATAGTTTGCTAGTTTGCTTAATGTAACACCTCCTCTCCTAATAGGAGATAATGGAGGTGTTAAATAAACTAGCTTTGAAGGGGTGAATAAGTTGGATGCAAAGAGAAACAGGAGTAACTAGATTAACTAATTTACCTGTTTACTTCTGAAGCCTTGTCTCCAAGCATGGTTACCAGGGGACATGCTTGTCTTCTTAGTTGACTAAGTATAATTTAACCTTCTCGTCTGTTTTCCATGGATCCAAACCTTTGTTACTTTTCTTTCCTAGGGCACCAATGCCTCTGCTCTGGAAAAAGACATTGGTCCAGAGCAGTTTCCAATCAATGAACACTACTTCGGATTGGTCAATGTAAGTATGTAAAAATGCATTATTTTTATCAAATGGCTTGAAGTGCTTTAAGCAACTCTCCTGGCATTTTCATCATCACCACTTTACAAAGAATTGTTTGTGGTTTTATAGCAGCCAGTAGTGCAAGTGATGTGGAAGGGGAAAGTTTTAATTCATTTTTGAAAGTCTGAGCTGCCCTGGAAAAAATGGGGTTAATTAGTACATCAGAGTCTCATTTTCCACTCTCAGAGCCTCTTATTAGAGCTGCTTTCATATATTTTCTCTTTGTTATCTGGGCGAATTCTTCAGATGACCTTTGTTTCAATATGTATCTGTGCAACCAGGGTCTTAAAAATGTTACCCGCTCCTCACCAGTAACTGGTTAACAGTATGATTTGGTGGTGCTACCTGAAGCAGTAACGCCATGTTCCGGCAAAATCGGGGGTAAATTTATCGCAAAATTCCATGTTACTTGTGCTCAGTCATAAAAGCATTTGCCACCAAGTTGATTTTGTAATTCCTAGTGACCCCCCGAGTGTTAGAGTAATACTGCTCCATAGGGTTTCTGGATGGCTGGGTTTTTGGAAGTAGATTATCAGTCCTTCTGAAGGTATTGCTGGGTAAATTTAAACTACCAAGCTTTCCATTTGGAGCTGAGTTCCCTAGCAGTTTGTACCACCCAGAGGCAGTGCTCAGCAGTGCGCTCTTCCTCCTTTGGTGTGCTGAGTAGAACCATGTAGTAAGACAGAAGGACCACCCTTTTGAGTTTCCAGCCTCATTGGTTCTCTTCTCTCTGTGTGGAAGTTTTAAGTGACAATCAAGTGTTCTCTCACAAACTCCTGGTTTTCTGGGATAAACAACTTTGAGCACATTTCATCCAGGTGATTAGGCAGAAGATTCTACTGGGGAAGCTGGACATACTCTTTAAGTGAATGCCATCCTGTGGTATAATGGAATGACCTGCCTTAAGTAGTGTGAACTCTGCTCATGCTACTCACTAGCAGTGTGATCTTGGGCAGGTTACCGGAACTCTCGAAGCCTGTTTCCTCATCTGTAAAATGGGGATGAAAATGTCTCCTATCTTTTGGGGCTCTGGTAAAGAATAAATGAGAGTTCCTGGCATGAGGTTGAGAGATGTATTATGGATGCTCAGTAAATGTTTGTCCCTTTTCTTCCCCAGGAATTGTCACTGGATCAGGCCAAACATTGTTGAAGGGGTGTGGGTAAAAGAGAGAGACCCTGAATAGGAGGACAAAGAATGGCAGGAGGAAGGCCAAAATACTGGGATGTGGGGCATTTTGTTGGTGAAGCACTGCCTTCAGTCTTAACACAAAGTCATTTAGCCATTGTGCACAGGCCTTGGCCATTTATTAGTATCTGGTCATATATTAATATCTGGAGGAATCATGAGATCTAGATTTACTAACTGCTCTCTTCCAATGGTAATTTTAAGAAGGTTCCAGCTTCTCTGTAAGAAGAAGTTTATCTATTACATAATTGTGTCAAAGTAGATAAAAAATATATAAAAATAGAAAAGTTTCTATTTTGGCATATGTAGAAATGTCATGTTAAGTATGGCAGAGCATCTGTCTCACTCTCGGGTAAATGACACAGAAGCCAACATCCGGTTTTCCTTATTTTTGAGAAGGGGTTCACGTTCCAGTTTCATCTAGTTTTGTAATCTGTGTTATTTATCTTGTTCCTTGTTTAGATTTTTCCTCTTACTGGGCATGGACAATTCTAAAGTGATAGTCTCAGCCTTACCCCTGCCCCCACCCCCCCCCACCCCCGAGAGTTAGTTTTCTGGTCAGTTGAAAACCAATAAGATGATGATGTTTTCCTCCCCGTCTGCATCCATAGTTTTGCAATGGTGTAAAATGTGTGAGGCCTCATCTGACGGTTAAGAGACCAGGAACTTGGATTAAGTGGCCACCGTGGCATCAACAACAAGTGGCAGTGTTGGCTTAAGGAGGTGCCTTTCTGCCTCCACTGCTCTGGGATAAGTGAGGAATACAGTTCAGCCAGTGGGCAAGGGCCCTGGAATTTTGAGAGACAGAAAAATGCTAAAACAAGTTCCCATTCAATCAAGGCTGTTTCAGCTGAGCCTGGGATTCCTACTTCCTGGATTTCTTTTTAATTTGGGTTTTTATTTTCACTGTCAAGAGCATTTTGATGTGTTGCAATGTGGCATATTTTATTTGGCCAGCTGCCTCTCAGGGCCTCCATATTATGCAGATATCTTTCCTTCTTTTTCTTTGCTAAGCACCAGAAGGTCTCATTAGATGCTTTATCAAGGCAGAGTGCTTGTTATCACGTTAGACGCTCTTATGCACTGGAGAGGTTGTAGCAAGATTGCTTTCTCTCAAAGAGACAGACTCTTTAGGCTCTCATAAACTTTTATTCTTTTCCCTGTTGATCTAGATCAGATAGCCAACAGTGTTGTCTAGAGTGGCAGTTACAATTCGTTTGCTGACACGGGGAACGGGACACAGATATAGGGAGGTCTGGAATGGTTTGTAGAGGGTGGTTTTCTCCCTCTTCTCGTCGATTCCAGAGAGGGGCACGTCTCGGGACCATGCTTTGAGCCATCCCTGTTGTCCTTTGGCAGTTCGGAAACACATGCTACTGTAACTCCGTGCTTCAGGCATTGTACTTTTGCCGGCCATTCCGTGAGAATGTGCTGGCATACAAGGCCCAGCAAAAAAAGAAGGAAAACTTGCTGACGTGCCTGGCAGACCTTTTCCACAGCATCGCCACGCAGAAGAAGAAGGTTGGTGTGATCCCACCAAAGAAGTTCATCTCCAGGCTGAGAAAGGAGAATGGTGAGTAGTATGGTGCATGATGCATTGGAAGTTCCAAGGCAAGGAGAATTGACAAGTCTGGGGAGCCACTAAGTCAGAAGATGTTTGATTTTATTTTTTATTGTTTGCTTTTTTCATTATTATTATTATTATTTATTTGAATACCTAGTGCTGTTGGTCATTTCTGACTCACAGTGACCCTTTAGGACAGAGCAGGACTGTTTCATAGGGTTTCTGAGACTGTGAATCTTTACTGAATCACACTGCCTCAGTTTTCTCCTGTGGGGAGACTGGCGGGCTCAAACCACTAACTACCTGCTTAACAGTGGAGTGCTGTAACCACGGTGCCACCAGGGTTTTGCTCTGTTTTTCAGAACAGTTAATAGAAAACTTAAGCAGAAAGTACAGTTCCCTTGTACCTCCCTCTCTTCCCCCTGTACACAGTTTCTCCTATTATTAAGCTTGCATTCCTGTGGTATATTTGTTACAATGGATGATCCAAAGTTGATACATTGTCATCCATGAAAGTCCACTGTTTCCATTAGGAGGCACTCTTTGTCACGTGTCCTCATTGTGGTATCTTACAGATTAGCTCCCACTGCCCTAAAAATGCGCCTTGCTCTTCACCTAACTTTATAAAGGAAAAGCAAACACAGACACCAACTCAAATAGCATTGAAAACCAAAACAAAACAGATTTCTCCTTTCTCACCTAGTATACATAAGATGAAAATAGATTAGGACTGTGCTTAAAAATTCTGTTTTAGCAGCCTGTCTTGAAGGGCTCTTCCTTATGCTTCATGCTGGGAGGAGGCCTTTCCAGGATAGCATAATTGTAAAGGGGAAAATTATGCAAGGTGGAACACTCACTGATTGGAATAAATAGGTGGATCCAATCATTGAATGAAAGAGTGTACCATCTTATAAACTTGTCGTAAGTGATGAAAACAAATGGGTATTATCTAATCAGAGCCTCGGCTGGTTAAAAATAATACCCTTGATTTTAATTTGCCTAAGACAACTGAAAAACAATCAAAATGATATACTTTTATATGATAAAAAATACCCTACTATAATCTGAAGTTTCCCCCTTTTTTGAGGGTGAGTGGGAATAATGGCAGTGGCATTATGGTAGGAATCAGATGTAGCTCCCAGAAATTTTACCTCAGTGATTTTTGCTACTATAGAAGTAATATTTGATCTGACAACTCGTGTTTATGCTAGATGCATTGCTCCACCAGACTCGCACAGTTAATCAGATGTTTGTTTTGTAAAATCCTGTTTAATTTGATTGCTGTCTTTTGAAGTTGTAGTTTATACACGCCAGAATAGAAATAATTGGAGTAGAGAAGGAGGCAGAACACTCCCAATCTAGTTGTGAACGTGATTAATAATGAAGTTTCACAGCTGCATTCAACTCTTGACTGCTTGCTCTTGTGGCAGGGAACAGCCATCGGCTTCTGGGATCATTTGTATTTCCTTTCAGAGCGCAATCAGATAGACCCATCTTCATGCATGCCCCTTGTCTCCCTTATGGGTTTCATTCAAGCTGCTTCCAGGCTGGCCTAGGGTTTAATATGATCTTTGAGAAGAGACCCCATTTGTTCTGTATAAATCACAAGATGAATAATTGAACACTGGTTGTTTGACATCATATTAAAAATTGATACATTATCAGGGAACAGACCAAGTAGTTTTTACTCTTTTTTTAGTAGACCAAATAAAAACGTTGGAAGTTTTATATGTATGTATGTATGTGTGTATGTATGTATGTGTGTATGTATGTATGTATATGTATTGTTGTTGTTGTTACGTGCCGTCGAGTCGGTTCCGACCCATAGCGACCCTGTACAGGGTTTCCGAGGGTGTAAATCCTTACGGGAGTAGAAAGCCTCATCTTTCTCCCGCGGAGCAGCTGGTAGTTTCGAACCGCTGACCTTTAGGTTCGCAGCCCGATTCGTAACCACTACGCTACGTATGTATGTATATGTATATATATGTATATATATATATAGTCCTGGTGTGGTGCTGTGGGTTAATGCTCTGGGCTACAAAGTTGGTTTGAACTGCAAGGTTGGCAGTTTAAGCTCACTAGCTGCTCTTCAGAAAGCCTATACAGGGTCTCTGGGTCGGAACTGACTCAGCAGTACTTGTATATATGATGATTTATGGAGAGATGGGAATTTTACTTCTTAGCAGGTGGCAGAAAATGGAAACAAAAATTCTTTGAAAGCTTTCCCATTGAAACTGCATACTCACTCATAGAGGGGGAGACATCTATACGCCACACCCCTGCTATTTCTATGTAAAAGACTTGCACGTGAAAATGCGCTGGTCTTTTTGCTTTTCGAGAAACAGATTGAACTAATGGCCTTCTCCTTTCCAGATCTCTTTGACAACTACATGCAGCAGGATGCTCACGAGTTTTTAAATTATTTGCTAAACACTATTGCGGACATCCTGCAGGAAGAGAAGAAGCAGGAAAAGCAAAATGGGAAGTTAAAAAATGGCAACATGAACGAACCTGCGGAGAACAATAAACCGGAACTCACCTGGGTCCATGAGATTTTTCAGGGAACGCTCACCAATGAAACTCGATGCTTGAACTGTGAAACTGTAAGCATGAGGCGGCCTTTCATTTAACTTGCTTGTCTGTATTTATGCAGGCTGTTTTGTGTGTGAGTGCAACGTGGCATCATGGCACTTAGCTGTTGTTAGTTCACTTCTATTGTATGAGACGCAGATGCAAACTTCTGAAAGCATGTGCCTATCTGAGATGTTTCAGCTAGCTCCAACAGAGTGCTGGAGAAGAGACTTGTCCTCCCAGGCTCCTCTGCTTTGAACCAAGGCCACTTTTTACCCACTACCCTGTTACCTTTGAGTGAATTTTGAGCCCTGGTAACCCAGTGAATGTCTTACAGAGTTGGACTCCTCCACAGGGGTCTTCTTGGCTGTGATGTTTACAGAACCTGATCTCCAGGCATTTCTTTGTGGAGCCACTGGGTGGGTTTGAAGTGCCTATGTTTGAGTTAAAAGTGCATAGGTGTGTTTTGGCCAAACCCACTGCCTTTGAGCTGATTCTGACTCATAGTGACTTTATAGAAGCAGATAGCCTCAGCCTTGTGGTTAGTAGTCTGGTGCTTAACCTATAGTACCACAAGGGCTTCTAGACTCTAGCCAGCTATGTTGAAAAGGTTTTGGTTACCAGCAGGCCATGTGAGACTCTGGAGTCCTGATGTGGCTCTGTAATAAAGCACTGGACTGCAAGGTTGGTTTGAACCGCAAAATCAGTGGTTCAGACTCACCAGCCACAACGTGAAACCAAATACAGGGTTACTATGGTTTGGAACCAACTCTACGGCCAAGGCCTTGTGACCCAGAAATGGGTAAGAAATACGAATCTACACATTTACACCATCTATGTATTGCGGGGGACAGGGTGGGAGGCTTTTGTTTTGGACAGTCCTTTTGTCTTTTTAAACAATTTTCAAATCAATAATTCTGTGTGTTTTTTTGTTTGGTAGAAAAAATTAGAAAAAATAGCTAAGCAAAAAAGAAATGAAAAAATTTGCAACCCAGAGTGTTCCATTTTTTTTACATTACAAAGACAATTGTGACTCCATTAGCACAGAGATGAGCCACGTGAACATTTGGAACTGTATCCTACCCAACATTTTCTATATGTACTTACCTCTGTAGTGGTCCTCTCCCCTTCTCCTCTTCTCTCTTCCCTCCTCCCCTTCTTCACTTGATACTATGTATTCCAGTAAAATCCAAACAAAAACAAAAGTAGGGAGAGTAGTGTTATAAATCTCATGTCTGTTTCTCATGTGTGGACCATTGTTGCTAACACATTGGCCCATCTTGACTATCACACCTTCCCTCCTCCTCACCAAGCTGGCTTATTTTTATTTATTTGTTTGTTACAGTTTTTATTATAAATTGAATGAGTGAAGGTTAACCCGGCAGATCTATCAGTTTAACATTTAAAAAAAAAATCGTTGCAATGATAACGATCCCCTCCACGCACCATCAGCTAACAGTATTTACCTCTATTACTTTTTTTTGATGTACACATACCACATTGAAGATATATATTCATTTAAATATCCAAAAGGCACATTTTGCAAGCCAGCCTCCAGCCTGCAGGCACACTGTCTATAGTCCTCTGCTGCTCTGTCGCTCTATGCCATCACCTCTGCCACCAACTCTGTTGCTCTTGTCACTTCTTTTCTGTGTTGAATCTCTCGTTCCTCTCATGCTCTACCTTGTTCAAGGTCCCTAGGGTCCTCAGTTCCTGAAATGACAGATTCTTTGCTCTCCACTTTTAGTTATACCTCTTCTACATTTACAGTTGTGAAAATCGCCATCAGTCCTGATAGTAATTACTCACAACAGAATCATAAAGTCCTATCTCCATCTTCACCTGACCGATCTGAACAAGAGGGAAACTATCAGTGGGGATTGTAGCTACCTTTCTCATTGCGGCACTAAGGACGCTCCTGAAAGCTTTTAAGCCAGTCACTTTGTGCCTTTATAGCCCCCCAATTTTGATAGCCAATGTCTGATTTGCCTGTTCCTGTCAACCAAACTGGCTTATTGTTAAGTAGATCTCAGGTAACTTATCATTTCATTGATAGTTTCATTACTTTGTTATATGTCTGTAAAATATCAAAAGTCTTTTAAAAAACATAACTCCAGTGCCATTTTTACACCTGTGTATAATTCCTTTTAACTATACCTAATTCAATGTTCAAATTTCTTTATCATGTCACACACACGCATACACATTTAAAAAAAAACAGTTGGTTAATATCAGGATCCAGCACATTGCATTTGGTCGGTGTGTGTGTGTCTTAATCTATAGGCATTCATCCCTCTCTCTCTCCCTCTCTCCCTCCCTCCCTCTCTTAATCTTTTCTTTTCCTTGCAATTTACTGTAGAAGAAATGAGTTGTCTGCTCTGTGGAATTTCCCACATTTTGAAAACATCCTTGTAGTGTTACCAAGGCCAGTAAAATGATAGTGTGTTTCTACCTTTGTACTCTTTGTTTTTCTTTTGTTGTTGTTAGGGTGCTGTGTATTGGTTCTATCTAACCCACAGTGGCCCTTTGTACAACAGAATGAAACACTGCACCACCCCCATGATCGTTGCTACAGTTCAGCCCATTGCTATAGCCACAGTGTCAGCCTATCTTGTTGAGGGTCTTTCTGTTGTTTCACTGATCCTCTGCTTTACCAAGCATGATGTTCTTCTCCTCCTGATTGTTGTTGTTAAGTGCTGTCCAGTCAGTTCCAACTCACGGAGAACCCTGTATGGTGTTTATGACGAGTGGCTGGTGTGTTTGAACCACCAACCTGATGGTTAGCGGCCAGTGCTTATCCTCCAGTGCCATAACCAGAAGGCCTGATTGTTGTTGTTGTTGTTATGTGCTGTGGAGTTGGTTCCAACTCATAGCGACCCTGTACAGGGTTTCTGAGGCTGTAAAGGCCTGATAGTATGTCTAAAATATGAGACAAAAACTCATTCTCGCTTCCAAGGGCTGTTTGGTGGTGTTGTTGTTAAGTGCCGTTGAGTTGGTTCTGACTCATAGTGGCCTGTATAAGGCTTTCCGCGGAGTGGTTGGTGGGTTTAAATTGCCGACCTTGCAGCTCAAACTGACCAAGGGCTGTTGTTGTTGTAAAGTGCCGTCGAGTCAGATCCGACCCATAGTGACCCTGTCTAGGGTTTCCGAGGAGCAGCTGATGAGCTTCAACTGCTGTACTTCCTCCAAAATAGATGCGTTTGTTCTCTTGGCTGTCCATGGCTTATTGAATATGTTTCACCAACACCATAATTAAAATGCATCAATTCTTCTTTAGTGTTCCATATTCATTATCCAACTTAATCTTTTCCTGCCTTTTTTGTTGTTATTGTTACATTGTTACTGTTTGTAATGAGCTCATGAATTTTGTCATTTCATGTGTTGTAATTCATTATGGATTTTAAATTATTTTTGATATGGACTTTATTTTCAGAGTAGCCCCATGTACTTTAAAAATAAAAATGAGGCCTATACTAGTAAATATTACAGTTGACAAAGATTTGCAGTCTTCTTATCCTCCTTTGATAAGGAAGTTGCTCCTTGGTACCATTCTCACCTTACTTGTCTCATATCTCCCGTCACCAAGTCCTGTTTGTTGTGTCCCTCTGTAATCCAGCTACTACTCTTGGCTCTCACTGTTCCAACCCTAGTTCCAGCCGCCTGACAGCTCTTGACTGACAGCCTCAATGAAACTGTGGTAAATCATACTGGATTCTCTGCTTGTTATCCTGTGTGGTGCTCCCCTGCTTAAGTATATATTCATTCACATTTCATTTAGAATATCATGGCCTACCATGTTGTTTTCAATTTTGAGCTATTATGAATAATGTTGCTATGAATGAACATTTTAGTAATATAGTCTGGTGCATACAAACCAAGAGATGGACCTATATGAAGGTGCTTCAAAAAGTTCATGGGAAAATGGAATTTAAAGACAAATAGCGTTTTCCATAAACTTTGTGAAGCCTCTTTGTATGTGTGTGTGTATAGGTGTGTGTGTATGGGGAGACAAAGAAATTCGTTAGTTGATATGATTCATGTCATTAAATTTATTAGATTATGTTAGAGTTCCAAAGTCATTTACACACCTGGCCTGTGTATGAGTGTCCTTGCTAATCTGCTTTCTTGTCTGTGACTACACTTTTCTCAGATGCCTTCACTTTTGGTAATCTAATGAATGTATGGTCAATGGACAAATATTCTGTAGTTTGACACATAAGCTTTTTTTTTTTTTTTTTTTCATTTGCAGTATTTGCTGTGTAGAGGTCTGAGATACTAAAGATACAGGGAGGGCCTTGCCTTTCTGGAATTTTTAGCATAGAAGACAGCCATTCAAATAGCAAAATAGATAGTGGTGGTGGTGATGTGCCGTGGAGTCAATTCTGAATCATAGCCACCCTGTATAAGGTTTCCAAGGCTGTAGATCTTTATGGGAGCAGAAAGCCTCATCTTTCTCCCATGAAACGGCTGGTAGTTTCGAAATTCTGACCTTGAGTTTAGCAGCCTGACTCGTAACCACTATGCTACAAGTGCTCCTTTAGCTATGTACAATTAAAATGGCAGTGAATGTTATGAAGAAGTTTAGAGTACTCTGTGAGCTTGTGATCCAGGAACTAGAACAATGGGGCACCACATTTCTATAATTGTTGCCAGGAAACTTGCACCAGATTGCGCAGCTGGTCTGCTCCTTTTGCTTATCTCTGAAATTATTACTGTTGTTTAGTCCATTTTGTGGTATTCGGTGTGGATTTTCAAGAAGGCTCACAGGGTAGGTTCAGTTACATTGTTGTTATGTGCCATGGAGTCGATTCCAACTCATAGCGACACCCTGTACAGGGTTTCCGAGTCTGTAAATCTTTACGGGAGCAGAAAGCCTCATCTTTCTCCTGCGGAACAGCTGGTAGTTTAGAACTGCTGACTTTGAGATTAACAGCCCAATTTGTAACCACTACGCTACCAGAGCTCCTTTCAGTTACATTAGCAGGTTCATGATTTTCTCTGAATAGGTCAACTGGTCCAAACCTGATATTCA